ACATGCTGCATTCAGTGCAATAAATTGGATAGCCCCCATTCTGCTGCTGGACTTCTGCCTGTCTTATTTTTACTTTTTTGTTTGGTCTTTATGTGTATGTGTGTTTTTCTTTTACATGTGAATGTAAGTTTTGAGAAACAACACTCTAAAGAAAAATTGCAATTCCTGCTAACTATATAATACCGAATAATAACAAGCAGGAGTAAGACTGAGTTTGTATTAGTGGTATTGTATCAACATTTTTCTTTGAGGTCCCATAAGTTTGTGAAGGATTTAAGATCCTGCTTTTTAAAAAATTAAGTTTCTAACTCTCCCCTGCATCTTGCTCTGGGATTTTATTTTTTATATATTAGTCTGTGGCTAATGGGTGTCTGGTCTAAATTTGAATTCCTCCTCCGCCTCTTTGGCTGCTGACAGAAAGAAGTTACTCTCTGTGTTAATTTTGATATAATAAATGGGCCTAGAGCATCAAACATCTCCCTCTTTTGTCTCCTGTCTCCACAACAGCTGCCAGACTGTTGAGGAGGTTGTCCTACTAGATCCCTTCCCATCAACAAAGAAAGTAACAGAACGCCACTAGCCATCACCTTCAGCCCCCACCTAAAACCTCTCCAGCGCACAATCAAGGATCTACAACCTATACTGAAGGACGATCCCTCACTCTCACAGATCTTGGGAGACAGGCCAGTCCTTGCTTACAGACAGCCCCCCAACCTGAAGCAAATACTCACCAGCAACTACACACCACACAACAAAAACACTACCCCAGGAACCTATCCTTGCAACAAAGCCCGTTGCCAACTCTGTCCACATATCTATTCAGGGGACACCATCACAGGACCTAATCACATCAGCCACACTATCAGAGGCTCCTTCACCTGCACATCTACCAATGTGATATATGCCATCACGTGCCAGTAATGCCCCTGTGCCACGTACATTGGCCAAACCGGACAGTCTCTACGTAAAAGAATAAATGGACACAAATCAGATGTCAAGAAGTAGAAAATTCAAAAACCAGTCAGAGAACACTTCAATCTCCCTGGTCCCTTGATTACAGACCTAAAAGTCACAATATTACAACAAAAAAACTTCAAAAACAGACTCCAATGAGAGAGAGTTGAATTGGAATTAATTTGCATACTGGACACTATTAAATTAGGCTTGAATAAAGACTGGGAGTGGATGGGTCATTACATAAAGTAAAACTATTTCCCCATGCTTATTTCTCCCCCTCCCTCCACCACTGTTACTCACACCTTCTTATCAACTGTTGGAAATGGGCCATCCTGATTATCACTACAAACGGTTTTTTTCTCCTGCTGATAATAACTCACCTTAATTGATCACTCTTGTTATAGTGTGTATGGCAACACCCATTTTTTCATGTTCTCTGTGTGTGTGTGTGTGTGTATATATCTTCCTACTGTATTTTCCATGCATGCATCCAATGAAGTGGGTTTTAGCTCACGAAAGCTTATGCTCAAATAAATTTGTTAGTCTCTAAGGTGCCGCAAGTCCTCATTCTTCCCAACACTGTGACTGTCTCCAGAACTACAGAGACTGCTACTCTGTCCCTGTCTGCAGGAAGACCAAGCCTCTGTCTGCCTCTGCTGCTGTTCATAGTTTCCCCAACCAGTCGCAAAGTGAACTTGACAGTTTCACAGATACCCTTAATCAATATGAATGAAACTGACCAGTCTCATCAACTTCAAGCTGCTAGAAAACCTATGTGCAACTGTAGCTGTCAGAGAACAGTGCATTGTTCACATTTGGAGTGGAAGCTCTACAACCACAAGGGCTAGAACTTTTCTCCTTAAATGAAAGCTTAAATATGACAGAAATTGATGACTTAGCTCCCTGTAACCCTCCTCCCAATTTTTTAAAAACAACCCTATGGGGCTCTTTATAATAAAACTAGTGCTTTATGTTAGTTTCAGTATAATCAGCCATCTGTCCGACCTCTCTGCACCTGACAGTCCATAGTTCCATTCCAAGCTCCCACCCCAAAACTGAACCTGAGATAGCTGTGTTGATGATGGGCTCTGGGCACCTCTCTATTGAACTGTGGTGAGTTTTAGAATGCCACTGAATCTGTGGTGCTCCAAATCCTGGTCTTGTGTTTTCTGGACCATGCAAGAATCAGTGATGTAGTGCAATGGCAGTGTGGGCCTAGAACATAAATAAGCAGGCTCCACGTTAAAACTGAAAAGCATGTGGTGGGGTCACTCTAGGCAGTAGGAGGTTTTAGGCTTCAGAGCCTGGTACAGCTGGTTAACAAGGAAAAGAGGGGGAAAGAATTAGGTACTTTGTTTGAAGTGACACGTGCTCCCAGTTTCCAAACCATCCAATCTTCATTTGACAATATTAAGAACTATGTTCTGGTTTTTAGTTTTTAAAAAAATGCTGTCTATTCTGATGGGAAAAGAGAAGCTGGCAATCATGCAGCAGCTATTTGGTAACACATTTTAGATTGATTGATAAGGAAATATTATTGAGTCACCTGGAAATAAATTAATAGGCTGGGGAGAATGTATGGAAATTGGGGACAAACTTACCCTCCCCACTGTTTATTGTGCTCAGAAAATTAAAATATTGTAGCAAGCCAAAACAGAGTCAATTATGGACACCTCTCTCCCTCCATTCTACCTTATTCATTTAGCTAACTGTTTTATACTGCCACCCATCACCACAGTATCTAAGTAGCTTCCATGAAAAATCAATCTCAATAGTGAAGTCTCCAGTGGACTTCCTCATCTGTGGTACTTTCCCCTTTTCAGCATAAAAACTCTGCATGGTTAGGGTTTGTTTAGATTTTATTTATTTCCCCTTTTTTTGGTGGGTTCGTCAGGATTTATTGGGTATAAGAGGGTGCATCCATGTTGTATCACTTTTAAGGTGGACAGGGTTTTTGGAAAAGGAGGAAAGCTTTGCACTATTTCCTGAAGATGGTCATTTAGGGTTGCCAGGTATCCACTTTTTGACCGGAACATCAGGTCGAAAAGGGACCCTGGCAGCTCCAGTCAGCATCGCTGACCAAGCGGTTGAAAGTCAGGTTGGCGGCGCAGGCAGGCTCCCTACCCGTTCCACGTGACTCCTGGGAAGTTGCCAGCATCTCCTTCTGGCTCCTAGGCGGAGGGACGGCCAGGGGGGCTTTGTGTGTTGTGCCCCTGCCGCCAGCTCAGCAGCTCCCACTAGCCAGGAACCATGGCTGAGGGGACAGCGCCTGCAGGGCTCAGAGCCATGTAATCACGCCTCTGCCTAGGAGCCGGAGAGAGACATTGCTGCTTCTCAGGAGGCACCTGAGGTAAGCGTCGCCCTGAGCCCACACCCCCTCCTGTGCTCCAACCCCTGAGCCCCCTCCTGCACCCCAAACCCTGGCACCACCCCAGAGCCCTCACCCCACACACACACACCCCAGCCCCTTGCCTGGAGCCCTCTCCTGCACCCCAAACTCATCTCTGGCTGGCCCCACCCTAGAGTCCACACCCCAAGCTGGAGCCTTCACACCTTCCTGCACCTCAACCCCCAGTCTCCTCCTGCACACCAAACCCCTCATCTCCAGCCCCACCCAGAGCCCGCAGCTGGGGCCTTCACCCCTCTCACACCCCAACGCCAGCCTGGTGAAAGTGAGCAAGGGTGAGGGAGAGCGAGCAACAGAGGGAGGGGAGTGGAGTGAGTGGAGATGTTGGCCTCAGAGAAGGGGTGGGGCAAGGGTGTTTGGTTTTCTTCAGATAGAAAGTTGGCAATCCGATGGTTATTGGTGAGGGCTCTGGCTTCACCTGTCTCCCTGGGAAGTTCGTTGCCTAGCCCCATGCCGCTGATGGGGCATGCCTTGTCCCCAGCCCTCATACGCTTCAGCGTGGGCTTTGTGAGCTGCAGTCCCCGAAGGGCAGCTATCGCGGTGGTTCGTGGCCGGAAAGTGACTGGGGTTTGATCCCCAAATTGCTTTGAAATGCGGGGGAGACTCCCTCGATGGGGGGAGAATTAACCTCCATCTGGGCAAACGCGGGTGCGACAGAGGAAAGGCTGGTTTGATTATGGGGGCGGAGGAGAAATCCCCTCTCCGGGGAGAGCGAGGGATTCCGCGGCCTTGTGAGGAAGGGTAAAGGGAGGGATTCTCTGTCTGCGGGGAGGGGCACACGGCTGGGGAGCAGACCGACGAGGCTCCCTCCCGAGTCAGAGCGCTCTGCTGACAGGGTACTGCTGAGGGAACGCCCCACGGGGGCCTCGGAGAGACCCTTCGCAGGCCCCCGCCCGGGCGGGGGAGGGTGTTGCAGAGTCCCTGGGCGGGCTGTACGCCCATGACGTAAGGTGTTGGTTCCCCCTCTGCCCCGGAGCGCTCGAGCCTGCGGCTGCGCAGAGCAAACGGGCAGTCCCTGCAACGTGACTGGGGCACCGCGGCATTTCTTACGCTGCGGAGTTTCCGTAGCCGTGTTCTCCGCTGCCTCCACGCCGCGCTCGTGTGTCGCCAAGCGCGTTTCTATGAGCAGCCCGTAAACATCATGGCAGCTGTGCCGGCTCCTTGTCCAATTCTTGGGCTGTAGGCGGCTGTGAGGGGCGCGGGCAGCCGCGGCCGCCCGGAGCGCTAAGGGCAGCGGGCAGGGTTCCGAGAGCGGGGAGCGCGACAGGTCTGGCCGCGGGCTTCCAGTGCGGGCGGCAGGGCCGCGCTCCCCGCGCCGAGCCGTGCGGGGGTGTGTGTGTGCGAGTAGCGCCCGCTGCGGCACCGCGGCTTGTGCCCGCAGTGCGCTGGGCGCTCTGGGCAGGGGTCCTTAGGGGAGCTGGCTGGGGGGAGCTTGGAGGTGACTGGTTCTCTTCCCTGGGGTGTTGAGTGGTTTTGGGGAGGCGGTGGGTGTTTGGGGGCGACCCGGTTGGAGCAGGTGATCTAGGGGCTGGTGTCTGTGGGCGCGTGTGGGGAGGCCGTGGGTTGCTGGGGTGATGAGTTTGGGGGTGTGATTGGGGTGTAGGGGCTACTGGGGAGGGGTTAGGGGGGGCGGGGGAGTTGTCGCAGACCCGGTGCGTGTTGGCTGGGCGAAGTAGCGATGTCACTGCAGACCCCGCCGGCTGCCACAGCCGGCTCAGATCTCCCCGCAGTTACCGAGAAAGGGTCCTTTCTGGGTTACAAAATGGGCGAGGACAGTTTTGTTCCCCCGTCAGTGGAGGAAGAGGAAGACGGGGAGAAAGAAAAGGAGAAAGAGAAATTGCCTCCTATCCTGACTGCATCTAATACTGCTGCTGGGGTATGTGGAGAGCAAGTGCCTTTTCCTGTTGCCATAAGGCTCTTGACACAGATGCTTTGTGAATCATTATGAAGGGGATTGCGTGACCTGTCACTTTTCGTTAAAGAGCATAACTCAGATTTAATCCAATTTTTTTAGAAGGGCTTTAAAACCAGAAAGCAAAATGATTAATTTTTTAAAGTTTTTTTTTTTAATTTTACTTTATTTTATTCTTAGTAGATAGACATTTTTTCTTTTTTATGTTACTTGCTTTGGGGTGTTTTAAGTTTTTGTTTTTTAGAAAGTGTACCAATAATCAGTGATGTAGCTGTGAATTTTAAATTTGCATGTGGTTGTTTGTTTTATAGTGACGCTTCCATTTTTTGTTGGACGTGAGTGAGGTCTTTGTAATATACTTATAGTAAATTTACCATCTTGAAAGTAATGTAATGCTAATTATTTTCAACCCATTGCATTGTCTGCAGTATTTAAAGAATTTATTTAGAAGATTCTCTTATGTTCTTCAGTCTGCTTAAACAAAGATGACAAAATATTTTTGGTGATAAAATTACTGCTGTATGGGTTAACGTAGACCACTTTATAAATATGTGAAACAAAAATGGCCATATTGGGTGAGAACAATGGTCCATCTAGCCCAGTATCCTGTCGTCTGACAGTGGCCAGTGCCAGATGCTTCAGAACAGGGCAATTTATCAAGTGATTCATCCGCTGTCATCCAGTCTCACGTTTTGGGGTTGTGTCCCTGACCATATGGGCTAATAACTTCATGGAGGATAGGTTCATCAATGGCTGTCTAATAAAATTGAGGATGAAGAAAGATACTTACATTGAAAAAATTCCATTTCATAAACCTTATTATTTTAGTGAAATCTCCATACTTGTTGGAATTTTAAAATTTATTTCTGATGAATATATAACATTTCCCACCATGTAACCTTGATTTCCTGGCTATAATCTGCCATTTAACTAGCTCAAGTAACCGTGGGGACTATTTTCATAGAATAAAGGAGCAAACAATAATTTCACTAATCCTCTAGTGTCAGAATTCTGAGGCCTTTTAGCTGAGTAGATTTAAATGATGACTGAATTATTAGAACTCATCATTTTACACAATTTAATTTTTAAATTGAGTGACTGCAATGTTTATGACACTGACAGTCTGCCTTCACTCGCTGGTCTTTAATACTATGTAAACTTCTCTGCACAATTCTGCCAGTGCACCTTGGTCTTTGTGTACAACCAAATTCACGGCCTCTGGTTTATTAAAAAGATTGTCAACTTTGTGAATCACTAATTTGCACAAATATGGACTTGGATAAGATCCCTAGTTTTATTTGTACTTGTGAACTCAAGTCAGAATTAGTAGGAGATAATCAGAGGCACAAATGCCAGTGCTAACTCCTGTTGAAAGTCAGTTGGAGTCAGACACCCAACTGCCACTTGGCCTGAACACATGAAAAGAAAGACAGAGAGCAAGGAGTGTGGCTTAGGTGAGGCCACAGCTTTATTATTTAACTCATCTGGGATCAAATTGTTACAGTGCAAGTCATGATTCCTTAAGTTACTTCTACCTGTTGGAAGGCTGCCATCAGCTCCCCACCCCTCCACAGCTAGTCTCTGCTTGTTGCGAGGATCCCCACCACCTTCCCTTCATATGAAGGTTATGGGGCTGAGGAAAGGGAGTTGTCTCCTTGCTCTACCAGATGTTACCTGCCCCAGCCCATTTACCTAGTTTCTTTACATTCATTTCCATTTCATCAAGGAACTGGTCCTCCTCTGGAATGATTACCTGTATTGGATGCCAGCCTTAAGGAGACATCAGCAATTAGCTTGGCTGACTGCCCACACACCTGAAGCTGAGTTCCCAAATAGCTAACAGTTCCTTCCCCAGTGGCCAAGAAGGAGAGCAGATGTACCCCATTACCTGAATAATTCAGGTACCAAATGTATTTTGGGTGGATAATTACCAATCCTCCCAGATACTATCTAGATGCTTCATATGACTACTGGCTTTGTCAAGCTGTACAGGAAGCTTTTCAGACAAGTCTATAGTCACACCTTGGGCAAATGTTGTGAATCTGTCCTACATCTCTTTGGGCTCCGATTAGTAAATCAATCCGCTAATGAAATCCCAAATTGTTTTCACCCAAGTGCACTAGAATCATTTTAGGTGGCTGTTTCCTCACTGCCGAAGAGTATAAGAGGATCATAAGTTGGTTCCAGAGCATGTCCCTCTTGCCATGCCAACTCAGATTCATCTCTCCACCAAGACCCACCTGTGAACCTCCTGGGCAACTGTGCTTGCTGCTTGCACAGATCCAAACATAGACTCTCATGACCCATTTCCCAGCTCTCTGTAGAGCACTCCGGCATTCATACTAACTCAGATGCCTCACCACTGATGCTCAGCCGCATACTTCGTGGAGGAACCGGCTACCTGCCTGTGTGCCACACGTGCAATCTTATCTCTAAACATCTAGTCACTAACCCCTGTGACCCAGTCATGGGATCCTGAAGGTTTAGCGCACAAACCACTGAATTATCCTCCCAATAGGAACCTCCATACTTTCATATGCATTTGGATGTCACCAAGTATAGGCATAATCTCTTAGGTTCCTATTCCTAAATTGTGCTGTGGATTAGAGCTTGGCAAATAGTTTTTTTTCAGTTTTGCCAACAAACCAAAAAATAAACTAAATTATTGTTTTTGTCCTGAAAATGTTCTGAATTTGTCAGCAGATCATGTGGGTCACCTTCAGAAAAGCACGTGTCTAGCCATTCCTCTTATAACCTTTTAGCTTAGTGTTTAGGGCTCTTATGTGGAACGTGGGAGACCCAGGTTTGAATCCCTACTCTGGAGCAGGGACTTGAATTCTGATCTCCTATGTGAATACCCTAACCCAGGGGTGGGTGCGCATCCGGCCCTTCAAATGTTTTAATCCAGCCCTCGAGCGCCTGCCGGGGAGTGGGGTAGGGGGCTTGCTCTGCGCAGCTCCTGGAAGCAGCGGCATGTCCCTGCTCCGGCTCCTACACGTAGGGGCAGCCAGGGGGCTCCGCATGCTGCCCCTGCCCCAAACACTGCCCCCGCAGTTCCCACTGGCCAGCAGACAGGGCCAATAGGAGCTGCAGGGGCAGCGCCTGTGGATGGGGCAGCGTGCAGAGCCACCTGGCCGCGCCTCCGTGTAGGAGCCAGAGCGGGGACATGCCACTGCTTCTGGGAGTTGCTTGACTTAAGCGCCGCCCGGAGTCTTCACCCCTGACCCCCTCCTGCACCCCAATCCCTTGCCCCAGCCCTGATCCCCCTTCCACCCTCAGTCCCACCCTCCTGCACCTGACAGTCCACACTCCTAGCCGGAGCCCTTGTCCCCACACCTGCACCACAGCCCCCTGCCCCAGGCCGGGTCCCCCTTCCGCACTCTTAACTAATTTCTGGCCCTACCCCAGAGCCTGCACCCCCAGCTGGAGCCCTCATCCCCTCCCACACCCCAACGCCCAATTTCATGAGTATTCATGGCCCACCATACAATTTCCATACCCAGATGTGGTCCTCAGGTCAAAAAGTTTGCCCACCCCTGCCCTAACCCCTATGCCATAGGCCAGTGATATTAAGACCTCACTGGTTCAGGAGCCAAATTAGCAATCAGCATTACCCAAAAGAGCCACAGTAGTGTGAATTCATTGTTTCATTTACAATAGTACTATATATTCATATTAAAACAGTATGATGGGACAATATTTGATTTATTGATTAATTCACAGCAAAATGGCTGACCAAGTAATATTATTTTATCAACTACAATTATTTTATCAATTGTTTAATAACTTAGTAAAAGCATCCTGATTGGTTAATAATTAAATCACACATTGTTTTAATATCATGTGCTGCAGAGAGCCACAGGAGACACATTAAAGAATCACTTGCGGCTCAGGAGCCTCAGTTTTAGTATCATTCCTATGGCTATTGTGCTCTTAATCTCTCCTGTTAAAAGCTGTTTCACTTTATATAAATACGTAACTATTCATTGGGCCAGAAAGCGAATCAGAACAACTTTATAGCTTATTGATTAAGGTGCTCGCCTGCGAGATAGATGTGGATTCATCCAAAACGGCATTTACAAAGAATAAACAATTCATCCATAAAAATTTGCCCAGCTCTGCTTTTGATGTAACCAATCCAGTGCTGAAGGAATGGGATCCTACTTTATCAGGGGGAACATCAATGACATGCGCTTTGACATTGCCATAAACTGACAGTCCTTTCCCAAGGTAACTCCTCTGTGAAGAAAGAGTGGCACCTTCATTAATGCTTTGATTGTGCAAATCTCAGCTTCCCCACACTCTTGAAATATTATATTTCACTTTGCCATCCTTTAATTGATTTTTGACACTTTGAAATTTGTTGTGTGAGACCCATCAGTTTGCTTCCCTCCTTCTTCCCTTTGCAGATCTCTAAATTCTGAAGACCTATCTAGATCCTTCCTTGCTGAATCCCTTAATAGCCCTGATCGAGAAATAAGTAACTTCCTCCACATCCTCAATGTACACCTGAATATTGAAGCTTTAAGTTGCACTAAGACAAAATGGTCAATCAAGAACTAAGCAGCCAGAGGTCTAGCTGCACCAGAATAGCTTCCTTATTGGCTGCCAGCACCAACTCTCAAGTTCCATCTCCCTCATACTCTGAGTAACTCGAATGGCCAGTTACTAGTGTGGACTTCTTCCTGAATCACCTCTCTAGTCCCTGACTTCATTCTTGCAAGGAGTCTCTGCGACTGGAGGGAGAGAAAAAAGAAAAGGAGTACTTGTGGCACCTTAGACACTAACAAATTTATTTGAGCATAAGCTTTCATGAGCTACAGCTCACTTCATCGGATGCATACAGTGGAGCTCTGTAGGGTTATGCTCCCATCCTCCCGGCTATCCAATGAGCACTGCTTGCCCGGGTGAAGATCCCAGAACGGATGCCCCCCAGTACATTCTAATCAACTTCCAGGTCCAAC